GTAGTTCCCCCAGGTATTGATCATGCTCCATCAGCTTATCAAGTTGTAGAAGGAAATGAGCTGATTCTTTTCTGTAATGCCACTGGAAATCCAAAGCCTGACATTACTTGGACTAAAAAAGGAAAAAGCTGTGAACTGCCCACATCAGAGACTCTTACATTAACAAAGCTGACACGAGAAGAAGATCAATCTATTTACAAATGTGAGGCAAAAAATTATTTAGGATTGACACAAGTCTTTACTAAAATTACTTTCCTTTGTAAGCTATACACAGTAAATATATGTAACATATTTTGAATTCTGTATTGTTTGTACGTGATAATAGTTATACAAAGCAGATGATTCTGTTCCGCTTCTTTTTTTTCGTTATTAACTTTGTCGTGTGCTCTTGTGTGACATGTTATGATAACGTGGTTTGATCCAAAAAGTCAATTGCATGTCTTTAAATGATTATGTAAAACAAGGTAAAAGAGGAAATCTTGATGGATAAAATCCAACCACATTAATAGTGTTACTCCCCCATCCAAGTCAAAGATTAATTAAACCAAGAGCAGCTTCATTTTCCTGAATTCTAATGCTATTTCGATGATGTCTGCATGTCTTTACAGACCTACTACAACCTCCAATACAACATTGTTCCACTCCAGTAAATGAAGGAGACAATGTAACATTAAACTGTAAGGGAAATGGTAATCCATCGCCTCGCACAGCCTGGATAACTTAGTCTGGAAAGGTTCCTAGTGACAGGCAGTGATTATGTTACAACAACAATTAACAGAAGTCAGGCTGGAACATACCAGTGTATGGCGTGGAATGGAATTACGAGAAATGAAATCTCACACTGCACTGTTGATGTTCACTGTAAGTTAACTTTGTACTGTAAGACAATAGCTCAGTCTGTTTGTGATGTTTACCCTCCTAGCCCCGGTTATTTGAAGGGTGAATAACACTATCCACTGGATAAAACTCTATCAGGTGGATATAATCACTGGATAATCGCTGGACAGCGATTTGTCTGGTGGATAGTGTTATCTGCCCTTTATACAACTGGGCCCTGTAAAGTACAACTGCCCTGTAAAGTACATTCTGGTAATGAAAATCTGATGAACCTTTGTACACTTGGCGGTATTTGTGTTAATAATCATAGTTATTTTTGTTTCTGTCCAAAAGATCCACCAGCATCAACCATGATTGCAACTGTTCCCACAAACACTATACAGTGCTACGTGGTAGTACATTGGTGCGGAGGTGTGATGTAGAAGGGAACCCTGATGCTCATGCTTATAACCTCTACTTTAATGGCAACTTTATCGGTAACAGTAGCTGTGGTGTGTTTAACATCAGTGTGAAGGAAGATGGAGAGTATACTTGTGTTCCTGTCAACAAATTTGGCATAGGAAGCAATGGCAGTGTCAGTGTGAATGTAGTTGGTAAGTTTGATGAGGAGCAGATTGATAAAGAAATGAATGTTTTGATACATGGAAGGATGCATCCCAAAAAAAAAATGTTGAGAAACTACAATGAGTGATGTATCTCTGGGTTCAAATAAAAAGGTAATCCATGATGTTTGTTTATTATACTTATCCAGTGAGTTTTCTCAACAATAAGGTTTTTCAGGTTTCCCAGAACTCTACTAACTGAAAATTATCTGCACTCTATGTTGGTACTGACTAGGATTTAAACTGATGCAGTGCCTGATCAATGAGTGAATTATTATTTTTGTCATTGTTTTACTGAGATTCAGATTGACAGTTTTTGTATACATGCATCTCTGATGAGCTTTATCCTTCTCCCTGATGATCATCTTATCCAGTTCTTTGTCATAACTTATTGCATTCACGATATTTTGTATCAGTGTCCCCAGTTGCTGAGGTTGTTCTTCAAGCTGGCACAGTTGAGGAAGGTGGAAACATTACCTTGATCTGTAACAGCAGTGGTGTTCCTTCTCTATCTGTTGTCTGGACTCAAGTTGGAACTGCAAAGGTTTTGTAGGCAGACCAGGGACACCAGATAGCGTGAACCAGTATCAGTATACAGCCAGTAATGGAGTGGGTTCACCTGCTACAGTTGTAGTTAACAACTGTTCATTGTGAGTTGATAACTTCATAATTATATATAATTATGTGCTGCGTGGTTATCTGTTAATTGTACCAGTATTGCATTTCATTACGAAAAGGCTCTGTGCTTGAAGAAGAAGAAGGAGAAAAACAGGAGAAATAGAGGATATTTCATGGCCACTTGGAGATACTGATAACATGTTATTTAAAAAAACACCTTATATTTCACACGAGATGATCTTTATTTTCACGCGTGAAAACGAGATCTGTTGGTCGATGTTGATCTTGCTTGAAGGCTTTTTTTTTTTCTGCAAATACATACATGTTTCAAATTGTAAGTAATTAGTTACTTTAAAGGTCCTCCAGAGACAGTCAGATATCTCTATCCACGACAGTCGTCACTGAAGGTAGCAATATCAAACTTGTCTCCCAAACTACTGGGAATGTATGACCAAATATAACTTGGACTAAGATGGGACGTCGAGGGAACTATCAGTTCGAAATTATTCATCTCATCCATATTTGTTCAAATCTACAACAAAGACTCGATCATAGAAAGATGTGTTTCATATACTGTAGGGTTGTGTTTGGGTGTAAAGTGAAGTATCTCATTCTTTTAATCTGATCAAATCCTGCAGAGATAGTGACTAATCCTAAAGACCAAGCGTTGAGGATAGGAGAGAAAACAGCTCTATCTTGTGACGCTGTTGGTAAACCTGTGCCGAACATAACCTTCTCTGGAGAGAATGTCACAGTTGTCCACAGCAAGAAACTTGTTGTCAACAGCTCCCGTATAACTTATTTTAAGATCTACACATGTACAGCATTTAATGTAATACAGACACCAGTATCTGTCACTGCGACTGTTACTGTGTTG